TAGGTTTACACTAACTTGATATATTACATGTTTTATGTAGAATTAGAACGTTAGGAACTAAAAGAATTAGACGTAATTTTAGGTAGAAGCGAGATAAGTAGTGACACCTGGAGGTGATCCAGCGAATTATTGAGGAAGATTGACGCTGGTAGCCATCTTCTCAAGGACCTGTGTTGTCAACATTTATCTACGAGTTTGTATCTCCTGGTTCCCACACGGTTTCCCAACGTTACCTGACAGTAACATACGTCAAGGCCTCCTAACGAATCGGGATACAGTCTCTGCTCCGATTCGTTTGGACGCTATTTAGTGTATTTTCCTCCCTAGTCCACATGCCACTGATACCGAGTGGGAAATCAGGATAGTTAACCCTTTCGGGTTTAAAAAGCCGACAACCCTCCAACTATCAGTAATTGTGAATACATAGGTATTAAACTTGAGTTTTACTGCAGGTTTTTCCACTTTTACTCAGAAAATGTTGTTAAAGCTACTGTGTGAGATATTGGTCTGGGGGGGGGGGGTGTCAAACACTCACCACATTTTTCACAATATATAATTAAGTAGAAGATGTTTTTGGTTTAAAAAAATATACGTTGAAGTACAGGATGATTTGGAATAAATTACAAGAGTTTAAGAAGCGCATTACAAAATAAAAGCTGTATTCGGAGAGCTAGTATTTATTTGATGTGTATGTAGTGAGAGCAGCAGGGGTACAACACTGGGAAGGTGATGGTGGGCCCGTGGCCTGGGGGGTAAAGCTCCCGCTTCACTCACACACGGAGGGGGCCCGGTTCGATTTCCCCGGGGGGTGGAAAAAATTTCGACCGTTTTTCCCTTTCCCTGTTGTCCCTTTACCTAGCAGCAAATAGGTACCTGGGTGTTAGTGGACTGGTGTGGGTCGCATCCTGGGGGACAAGATTAAGGACCCCAATGGAAATAAGTTACAGTCCTCGATGACGCACTGACTTTCTTGGGTTATCCTGGGTGGCTAACCCTCCGGGGTTAAAAATCCGAACGAAAAATCTTACCTTATCTTATCTCTTAAGGTTGTATATCTGTGTGTATACGTAAGTCCTTTTATTAGAGGATAAAGCAACCTATAGTGCTATTATTTGCGGCTGTTGTTAATATAGCACTATATTAGCGCTACATAATAGCACTACTGCTGTTGTCTCCATGTCTGTTGTCGTATATTTAACTGAAAAAACTTAGCGTGTATACCGAACATTTGATCAATAAAAATATTCAATTATGGCACCAGTTCGTCACTCATCTGGCCTTACTCTCGTAGGGAGTCATTTCAGTGTGCAGATTTGGTAGAGATTAGCGTGTATATTAACTCTGCAGGTGTGTGAGCAGACACTTGAGTCAAGGAGAATGCTACTTAATGCTCCAGTTGTAGGATCAGTTGTCACTCTGCCAGTGTTGTGCTATTATTGTGCCCCTCACAAAACACTACCAACACAAACTATGATATTATCTGCCCTGTGGCTCAAACTGTGACCACATGTGTACACGTACGACGTGAGTCATGATCACTAGTCAGTTCTGTGTTTGTGTTAGGTTGATGTGGGTTATCTTTCTGTTAATACATGTTGTGTTTTGACTGTTCAACTACACACACACACACACACACACACATACCACACACACACACACACACACACACACACACACACACACACACACACACACACACACACACAGTTTACATTCTCAGATTTTATGTATGTTTTTATTTTTATAACAATAAATTACCGTCAAGTTTATACATGAGACACGTGTGCAGCAGCTAGTCACTATTTTCGAAATGCTTCACCTGTGTGGGCTGTATAATCCTCCGGGTTTAGCGCTTCCCCCTTGATTATAGTAATGCTTCACCTGTGTGGTAGGCTTCTTGTGTAGCATCGCCAGGTAACTAAGGTATTGAAGACAACAGAAACAGTGGGAAGGTAAACTCTCGGTGCTTAGTACCTCAGCCTCGAGAAGTGTTCACCGTCAGTGTTTTGAACATGACTGGCAAGCTGAATGTTCTTCATGGTTGAGGGACTGACCACCTCAGACTTGCTTGTTCTTCATGGTTGAGGGACTGACCACCTCAGACTAGCTTGTTCTTCATGGTTGAGGGACTGACCACCTCAGACTTGCTTGTTCTTCAAGGCTGAGGGACTGACCACCTCAGACTTGCTTGTTCTTCAAGGCTGAGGGACTGACCATCTCAGACTTGCTTGTTCTTCAAGGCTGAGGGACTGACCACCTCAGACTTGCTTGTTCTTCAAGGCTGAGGGACTGACCACCTCAGACTTGCTTGTTCTTCAAGGCTGAGGGACTGACCACCTCAGACTTGCTTGTTCTTCAAGGCTGAGGGACTGACCACCTCAGACTTGCTTGTTCTTCAAGGCTGAGGGACTGACCATCTCAGACTTGCTTGTTCTTCAAGGCTGAGGGACTGACCACCTCAGACTTGCTTGTTCTTCAAGGATGAGGGACTGACCACCTCAGAGTTGCTTGTTCTTCAAGGCTGAGGGACTGACCACCTCAGACTTGCTTGTTCTTCAAGGCTGAGGGACTGACCACCTCAGACTTGCTTGTTCTTCAAGGCTGAGGGACTGACCACCTCAGACTTGCTTGTTCTTCAAGGCTGAGGGACTGACCACCTCAGACTTGCTTGTTCTTCAAGGCTGAGGGACTGACCACCTCAGGCTTGCTTGTTCTTCAAGGCTGAGGGACTGACCACCTCAGACTTGCTTGTTCTTCAAGGCTGAGGGACTGACCACCTCAGACTTGCTTGTTCTTCATGGCTGAGGGACTGACCACCTCAGACTTGCTTGTTCTTCAAGGCTGAGGGACTGACCACCTCAGACTTGCTTGTTCTTCATGGCTGAGGGACTGACCACCTCAGACTTGCTTGTTCTTCATGGCTGAGGGACTGACCACCTCAGACTTGCTTGTTCTTCATGGCTGAGGGACTGACCACCTCAGACTTGCTTGTTCTTCAAGGCTGAGGGACTGACCACCTCAGACTTGCTTGTTCTTCATGGCTGAGGGACTGACCACCTCAGACTTGCTTGTTCTTCAAGGCTGAGGGACTGACCACCTCAGACTTTGCTTGTTCTTCATGGCTGAGGGACTGACCACCTCAGACTTGCTTGTTCTTCAAGGCTGAGGGACTGACCACCTCAGACTTGCTTGTTCTTCATGGCTGAGGGACTGACCACCTCAGAGTGACTTCCTCCACCCGTGGCTGTGCCACTGAATGTATATACACTGAGAGGTTTGTATCATTATCCAACGTTGATGAAGGCAGACTTTTGAATGATTATTATCCTGTGGGTTTGTAACCCAGAAAACCCCAAGGAAACCAAGCCGTGTGGCTTGATTCCGTCCTGGTCAGTGGATCATTTCCCCCCAAGATGCGACTAACAGCAGCCTGTTAACTTCTAGGTGTACAAGACATTTAACATCTGCAACACCACAATATCATTATTTGAAGATTTTTTTCCAACCAGTGACGTTATTAAAATGCAGAGTAAATAGATGGTGTTGAAGCTGACTGAATAGTGACTGCAGGTACACTAGTGACTGCAGGTACACTAGTGACTGCAGGTACACTAGTGACTGCAGGTACACTAGTGACTGCAGGTACACTAGGGACTGCAGGTACACTAGGGACTGCAGGTACACTAGGGACTGCAGGTACACTAGTGACTGCAGGTACACTAGTGACTGCAGGTACACTAGTGACTGCAGGTACACTAGTGACTGCAGGTACACTAGGGACTGCAGGTAGAATAGGGACTGCAGGTACACTAGGAACTGCAGGTACACTAGGAACTGCAGGTACACTAGGGACTGCAGGTACACTAGGGACTGCAGGTACACTAGGGACTGCAGGTACACTAGGAACTGCAGGTACACTAGGAACTGCAGGTACACTAGGGACTGCAGGTACACTAGGGACTGCAGGTACACTAGGGACTGCAGGTACACTAGAGACTGCAGGTACACTAGGGACTGCAGGTACACTAGGGACTGCAGGTACACTAGGGACTGCAGGTACACTAGGGACTGCAGGTACACTAGGGACTGCAGGTACACTAGGGACTGCAGGTACACTAGGGACTGCAGGTACACTAGGGACTGCAGGTACACTAGGGACTGCAGGTACACTAGGGACTGCAGGTAGAATAGGGACTGCAGGTAGAATAGTGACTGTAGGTAGAATAGGGACTGTAGGTAGAATAGGGACTGCAGGTAGAATAGGGACTGCAGGTAGAATAGGGACTGCAGGTAGAATAGGGACTGCAGGTAGAATAGGGACTGCAGGTAGAATAGTGACTGCAGGTAGAATAGGGACTGCAGGTAGAATAGGGACTGCAGGTGCATTATCAACTGCAGGTAGAATAGGGACTGCAGGTAGAATAGGGACTGCAGGTAGAATAGGGACTGCAGGTAGAATAGGGACTGCAGGTAGAATAGTCACTGCAGGTAGAATAGGGACTGCAGGTAGAATAGGGACTGCAGGTGCATTATCAACTGCAGGTAGAATAGGGACTGCAGGTAGAATAGGGACTGCAGGTAGAATAGTGACTGCAGGTAGAATAGGGACTGCAGGTAGAATAGTGACTGCAGGTAGAATAGGGACTGCAGGTAGAATAGGGACTGCAGGTAGAATAGTGACTGCAGGTAGAATAGTGACTGCAGGTAGAATAGGGACTGCAGGTAGAATAGGGACTGCAGGTAGAATAGTGACTGCAGGTAGAATAGGGACTGCAGGTAGAATAGGGACTGCAGGTAGAATAGGAACTGCAGATGAAGCAAGACTCCCATACATCTCGCCTCAGCATTGCATAATTATCAGCTTTGTTTTATTCCTACCATTGTGTCAGTGCGTGTAAACTACGCTATTTGTACCGCATAAAGAAATTATTATTAGTAGTAGTATTTTATTATTACTATTAGTAGTAGTATTGGGAGCCTGGACGGTAAGCAGTCAATTGAACGCATGTTTACATGTTCAACAGTACCCGTCTCTGGCTTCTGAGAGCACGTTGTTGTGGCCAGTGCCAAGGTTGATGTAACTATCACCCAGAGTACTTTCTTTATACAAGAGATGGCGCTGGCGATCTCGGGTGGTCTGAGTGACTTCAGAAGGTACAACTCCGGGAGGGGGGAGGGAGGCGGATGGTAAGAATTGAAGTGTGAGGTGGCGCGTGTGTTCCGTCAGGCCGATGGAGATTTTTACCGAGGACATTCCTGATTGAAGGAGGTAGTAGGAGGGAGAGAAGAATGGAGGGAAAGAGACCTTGGCCTGTTGCCCGCTGTCTATTGTGGTTGTGAGAGCGAGGCTGGGCCAGTTATCCTGAGAGGTCTGGGGAGACGAGGAGTGCGTCGCGGGTGTAACGCTCAACATCGTCCTCACGATGAAGGAATGGGTGAGGTTGTTCAGTGACGTGGTGGTACGCGCCTTCTATGGCAACAGAAACACCGCTACCGTTGCCTGTACCACAGGAGGATGACACCAAGGTCGTAGCTCCTGTGGCGGGGACGTCATTGGCGTCAGCAGCAACAACAGTACCTCTGTCACACCAACAGCAGTCAGCAGCGTCTTCACTGCCTTCACCAGGTATTGCAGCTGTCACTGCAATTCCTCCACCATTACCCCCGAAGCCACCGTCCGCGGCTATTAAGTTTCAGTCCCAGTCACCTTCAAGTTATTCACCTGCCTCCTCCACACCCCCTGTCACTCAGGTGAACACACAGTCACCTTCAAGTTATTCACCTGCCTCCTCCACACCCCCTGTCACTCAGGTGAACACACAGTCACCTTCAAGTTCCACTGCCTCCTCCACACCCCTGTCACCAGGTGAACACACAGTCCACTTCAAGTATTCACCGGCCTCTCCACAACCCATGTCACTCAGTGAACACCATCACTTCAAGTTATTCACCTGCCTCCTCCACACCCCCTGTCACTCAGGTGAACACACAGTCACCTTCAAGTTATTCACCTACCTCCTCCACACCCCCCGTCACTCAGGTGAATACACAGTCACCTGTGTCCACTCAGTCGTCCTCTGCCCCAGTTAGAATACCAACTGTTCCATCACAACCAATGCCACAGTCAGGGCCCTCGACAACATGTACTGACGTAGGCCTTCGCTCCATGGTATCCAAAGTGCCTTCACAGCCCCAGCAGAGCTTGGGAGAGAGCCCACAGGAGAGGGGACGGGGCAGGGGGAGAGGGCGAGCATTGGGCCGGGGGCGAGGTGACAGAGGTGGTTGTAATGAAAGCAGTAGTTCCTGGGGCAGGTCAGACTCCAAGGGTAACCAGCAGTTCCAGGAACTGTCACCCTCCACATCACCCAACACTCGAAATTCTGACTCGCCAGCTCCTCGACCGAAACGAGGTGGTTCTTGGCGTAACTGGCCAGGGGCAATCTCTCGGTCTCTCAGTCCTCGACCCTTGCCACAACCTCCGTATGTAGATGAGGATGGGTTTACTCTGGTTCAGAGGCGGAACAAGCCAGGTAAACCCCCGCCCAACCTCGCGAACACTGGGCCAAACAGTCCCACTCGCGGGGGATACGCTGATACAAAATACGTGATTGAAGGTGACTTTGTGCTGGAAGAGGAGTTTCCAGTCATTAAGAACCCCGCGTACCCCACAGGAAGCCACCTGCCGGGAGGAACACAACTCCCGTCGATACACAAGCGACCTGTCTCTCAGGAGGCAGGAAACCAAAAGCGAGCCTCGAGCAACGGCAGCCCGAACGACAACCTTTCCCCACGAGGAAAGGATGGAAAACACATAGCAGTTATCTCAAAGAGCGAGTCTGGGAAAGTCAGTGCTCACGATCAGAGAAGCACCACTTTGTCGCCTGCCCAACCCGTAGTGACACAATGCAGCAAAGAAATCGTGGGTGACTTAGGTAAAGGTGCAAAGTTCAAAAGTGAACATACGAAGGACAAATTCAGTGTCAGAAGCAAGGAACCTGCTTCACCAAACGAAGCTCTTTGTGCTGTCTGTGATGGTATGTATGAAAACGTTAAGTTGAAGGATTCCAACTCCAGTAATAACATTGATGTTGTTAAGAACAATAATGTAACAAATCGAGTCGACTTGCTGCAGAAGAATGAACTAGATGCCGGTGAGGCGGACACAGTCAAAGTTGACACCCTCAAGGTGGACAAAGTCAAGAATGACACTGTCAAGGTGGACATCTTCCAGGCAGACACCTGTAAGATGGACACATGCGAAAAACTGAGAGAGACACAGGTGGAACATCTTAATCAAGAAACACTTGTGGATATTCCAGCAAGCAGCACTCCTACGGATGTGACACCTGTTAAGCAAGAAACACAAACATCAGATACCAAAACTATCAGCTTAAAATCAGTCGAGGTCACGGACGAGACTTCGACTCAAATCCTAGAATCGAAATCTAAAAAAATAAAAAAGAAGAACCGCAAGTCTAGTAAATCTGAAGGTCGAGATGCGAGCGAATCCTCGACTATAAAGGAACGAATCATGGTTAGATCCTTGGACGAGTTGCAGATTCCGAAATGTCTGGCTATCTGAAATCTATAACCACACTAAAAGAAGGCAACACCAAGGATCAAAGTAAATGAGGAGACACGTGGAAGCACGATGAAACAACCAGCAATCGTTGGAAGCACCAAGGAAGGTGAGCTGAAGAAGAGATGTATGTAAACAATATATGGTTGGATCATTACCAGGATGAGACCCGACCATAAGCATGTGTACAGAAATAACAAAGAACAGACGTACGTTAAGCCAAGGGATGAAACAGCCAGTAATCCTCGTGTTGTGGAGAATATCTGTCAGATTTTCTACGAAGCTCAGCCAAGGGATGAAACCCTAGTATCTCTGTTTGGAGGAATATATCGTCAGATTTCCTACACGAAGGGTAACAGGCGATTGAAACAGCCTTCCTTCTGTTGTGGAGGAATATCTGTCAGTTTTCTCACGAAGGGTCAAGCCAAGGATGACATCGGCCAGTAGTATTTCTGTTGTGAATGACAGGCTGTCAAGATTCAAGGATGAAGGCCAATCCGCAGTAAGGAAATGCCAGTATCCTTGCTTGTGATACATGGCTGTTAGATTTACTGATGGTGGTATTACACCTGGTAATGTTATAAATAATGTAGCTGAGAACACACTTGCAGGAGAGAGTACATTAGGAAATTCTCAGGAAGCAGCAGCTGCAGCAGTGGCGTCTGATAATTTCTACATAGATGATGAGACTGAAGAAGGGGAATATGTCTTTATCCATATACGGAAAAAACTGCAAGACGTGACAACAGATAATGATCAACTCAACATGAGAACAGAGAAGATAGACCCAGAAGCCTCTGAAGACTCGCCCTTGAAGCTCTCTGAGGTGAAGCAAGATATAGATGGTAGTCAAGAGGAGACAAACCAACGAGGCTCCATTTTAAGTGGTAATGAAGATGACAGGAGCCACCAGGTCTCTGTCTCAAGTGGTAATCAAGAGGAGTGGAGAGCTAGAGAAGGAGATGCTCCACCCGGGACCAGGTAGTGCCATTCTCCGCGACTCGCCAAGACAAAGACACTGAATATAACGCAGTTCTCTCATGCGAGACGAAGACCGATATAACGGAAAAACCAAGAGACAAGAAACACCGGGAGAAAGACAAGAAGACCAAGGAAAAGGATACTTATATAGAAACTGAAGAGAAGAAGATGGAGACGAAGAACTATAAACTCAGAGAGGAATAAAGACGATCATACTGATAAAAATTACAAGTTGATGAGTGAAGAACAGTTGACGCCCAGCAAAGATAATGAGAAGTCAACTGAGCGAATACAGAAGGAAAGTGGCAAGACGGATGGAAGGAAACACCAAGTGAAAGAGAATAATGAATACATTGTTGACGACAGGGAAAACCACACAGAAACACAACAGTATGAAGAGCAAAGGAACATCGACTTCGAGGACAACCGCAATATAAAGATGACATCAGAGGGCATCCTTGACGTCACAGGTGAAGGCAGTCACCCATGCGAAAAACACCGACAAAATGAGACAAAACAGAAAGAAAAGCTAATCACGAAGTCAGATTCTGTCGAGGAAGATACGTCAGCATCGAGCAATGATGAGCTCACAGTATTAATGAGCCTCATAGCAGATAAAAAGAGCAAGCTCCTGACCCTCCAGAAGCAATTAGTGAACGTGGTGCCCCCAGAGAAACAACTTGAAGTCAACACTGAAAGACAGCCTGGAGAGGAAGACCAGGATAGTGATAAGGAGGTTCCCAGTAGAGTGCAAGACTCTGTGGATACCCGGAGGTTGAGTCCTGATGGCGCTGAAGAAGGGAGGTTGTGGGTATTCGAAGCACCAGCTTCCCCAGTCACCTCCATACACACCCTCCTCAACAGGAAGGTATCCAGCAGGGGTAACCGGGAGACAGGTGGTGCTGGGGCCGCTACTGTCAGCCTCGAAAATGAGACAGGGACGGGAAGGAATGAAGAGAGATACAGAAAAATAAACAGGAGTAGAGATGAGTCACATCATGGAGATGATGGAAGGGAAGGAGATGGAGTCAGAGAAGAAACAGTAAGAAACGAAATAGAAAACGGAAGGATGGTGACAGAAAATAAACACAGCAGCCAGCAATTCCAATCAGGTGAGCGTGAAATTAGTACGGACTGTAAACAAAGACAGACTGGTGTTGAGAAACTAGACGCAGGAGGGAAGACAAACAAGGAAGAGGTAGAAAGACAAATTTTCACTGAAGGAGAAGAAGGGCAAGGAAAACAAGAAGAGGTAGGTAAAGGGGGAGAGAAAGAAGAAAGACCTAATTAATAAATTAAACTGTCTCTCAGATTCACAAAAGTTGGACCACGAAGAACTACGATTAAGGAAAGAAGAAAAGAGAGAAAGAAAGAGGAGACGACGTGAGGAGAAAGAGAGGCTGAAACTGATGCAAGCATACAATGACCAGGATCAAAATAAACCTCAGGAATCAAGGGAGGAAACAGAGGAAATGAGAGAGAGCAGGAGGAGGAGGAGGAGGAGAGAGGAACGTGAGATTGAGGAATTAGAACGTCAGAAATTTGAAAGAAAACGCAGAAATGAGACTGTGTGTGTGGAGACGGCGCCAGAAGTGTCCAAGTTGCTGGTCGAGGCGGAGCTTACTGAAGACACTGCTTCCAACCTTCCTGCTGCAAGTGACGCTGCTGCTGCTTCCAACCTTCCTGCTGCAGGTGACGCTGCTGCTGCTTCCAACCTTCCTGCTGCAACTGACACTGCTGCTGCTTCCAACCTTCCTGCTGCAACTGACACTGCTGCTTCAGCTGACCTTCCTGACACTGCTGCTTCGGGCGACCTTCCTGACACTGCTGCTGCTGAATTAAACTCTAAAGCAGTCGAAACTCCGTCAGGAATTACAATAGCAGGAGCTCCGGAGTCCACTGAAAACACTGCTGACTTTGATTTATACAGTGGCTTTAATCCACTTGTTCTGGAGAGACTCAGAAAAGTTAGCGAATTATTGGAGTTACGAAAAAATCGTCAGTCCCTGCAGGAGGAAGTGGATGAGGCCTCCAATGTAGCGAGTCGGGAGGATCAGTCCCAGAAATGTGAAGATCATAAGAGTGGTGAGATCATGGAAGTTTCTCACACGGATCCCATGAAAGATCAGGAAACGTATCTTGAAGATAAATATAATTATGGTTACCGTACACGAGAGAGAGAGAATAAACCAAGTTCCAATAACAGCATTAATAAAGTGGAAGAGAGAGAGACAGTGAGGAGAAGGCGACGCCGGGAAGATGAAAGCAATAAGGAACATGAATTGCCAGGAGAGTCGAGTGATGTGCAAGGATTCTATATGCTCAAGACCTTTGAAGAGCTTGTCGCTGAGAGGAGAAAGAGAAGAAGCAAGCGTCTCGAAGAATCAGAAAAGCATGAATCACAAGCAGAGGAGAAGCCAGTACCATCGAGGAGAACCCGCCAGGTGGAACATTGTAGTGGAGATAAAGATTCCCAGGTGAAAGAGACTGGTGAAACCATTACGGCAAGAAGACGCAGAAGACTTACTGAAGACAGCAGCCAGACGCGGGACTCGCAGTCCAAGGATGTCAATAGTAAGGATTACGAGGAGATATTCGCCCGAAGGAGACAACTTAGAAGTCGTAGGCTTGAGGGAGACAGTAGCCAGGTGGATGAAGACCGACCAGTAGTCTCTCACACACAGGAAGAGCAAACACTCGGTCACAACCGCGAGGCCGACAAGCAATACCAAGAAATTTTCGAAAGACGACGACGCATACGGAGACAGAGGTATGCGGAGATGCGCATGTCTGATGAAAACCTGCAGCACAGCGGTTCCTCACCTCGAGAAGACGCACGCACATCCCCATCTTGTGAAGTATCCACCAGCAGTAGAGTGAGCAATACTGATGGTGTTTATACCCAGCAAACTACTCGCTCAACAGCACAGTGTGACCTGCCTGCAACCTAGCACCGTTGAGGCCACCAGGACGCCTGTACATAGTGATAGTGATGATAGTGATAGTGATGATAGTGATAGTGATGATAGTGAAGCAAGCTTGTCAGGACATACACACAACGCCAAGTGTGACGACAAACTCTTAAACGAGCAGAACCACCTTGAAAACCAGGTAAGAACAATTAATTACTCTGAAGGGTTGTATTGTGATGCCGTTGAGTCTCATGATCCAAGGAGCTGGATTTATCCTCCCCTTCCTTGGATCAAGCCTGAATTCCTCCTATATTCCGCAGAGGAATAGCGATATTTTTGTAAAAAGTTGATATTTAATTATAGTAATGATTATATTCAATATTACACTAATTGTAATTCGCTAAATCCGTAACGAGCATAAAATAATTTTAAATAATCCGTATTAAGCTCTAAACCCATGTGGGTCATTCAGTTCAGGACGTTGTGGAGGCTTGATTCTCCTCAGGGTTTAATGCAAGGAAGGACAGGATGACTTCAGTGCCTTGGATCAAGAGCCCTTTAGCAGCATCAAGGGTGCAAGAATAAAGGGTTGGTGTTTTAACACTGGGTCACACACAGGTCTGGCAAGATACCAAGAGTCTTCACGGAAACTAGAAACCATTAGCTCTAGATACAACGTAGCGCTCTAACTAGATCCTTCGCTACCAGATACCTGGATACTGAGTGTGCGTGTGTCTTCCTGTGTAGTACACATGCATTCCGTGTGTAATCTATTCTGCCATTGTATTTACGTTGCTGTTATCTAGATGTCTCTTGTTTACTCTACATAAACACCAGCATATTTATTCATGGAATATTCGTTTAATATCCATTATGCAGCCCATACCCATCCTGTGGGCGGTAGTCAAAGATTACAGAGGTATATAATGGGTCCAGGGACTGGAGTATGCCTGGAGAGGGTTTCGGGGGGCAACGCCTCCGCGGCCCGGTCTTTGACCAGGCCTCATGGTGGATCAGGGCCTGTTCAACCATGGATGTTATTGTTGGTTCAACGTACAACCCGCATCCCGACTGGTCAGGTACTGGCTTTAGGTGCCTGTCCAGCGCCTTCTTGAAGACAGCCAGGGGTCTATTGGTAATCATCCTTATGTATACTGGGTGGCAGTTGAACAGTCTTGGGCCCCAGACACTTATTATGTTCTCTCTTATCGTGCTAGTGGCACCCCTGCTTTTCATTGGGGGGATGTTGCATCGTCTGCCGAGTCTTTTACTTTCACAGGAGTGATTTTCGTGTGCAAGTTTGGTACTAATCCCTCTAGGATTTTCCAAGTGTATCTCTCCAGCCTGTGTTCTAGGGAGTACAGGTTGAGGAACTTCAAATGTTGCCAGTAATTTAGGTGTTTTATCAAAGTTATGTGTGCCGTGAGGGGCACTGCAAAGTTTTGATAGCTGAACAAATTACATAGGTAGTGAACCAGTCACACGTCCACACCTGATCACAATTGCAACCAGTTATTAGTGCAAATACTCTTAGCTTTATTTAGTGATCAAAATCAGGGTATTTTTCCAGAATGATTTGTAATATACTACTGTGGATAAAATACTGATATCTTTAACAGAGTTTTCTCTGAATTCATTTATTTTATCTCATTCCAGTACATAATGACGCAGGGTGTGACAGTAGTCCATCTGGCAGAGTTTACATTGTTTCGTCTACATCTGGTGGTGGTGATTTAACCTGCCAAAGATACTTGTAACCCAGTCAGAGCCAGGAAGTAGTGACAGCCAAGGATGCTTATTTTGCTGGATGCACCATGGATATGTGGCTCCTCCTGCTGACTGACAAGATTGTACAACACTCTTTGAAAGCATGTAACTTTTCCGATTCACTAGTTATATCATGCATTTGAACACCAGTGTGAGATAGAATCCACAGAAGGTGCACTCTGACTCCACTGTCCACAATCCTAGCATGCCTCGATTTGTACTTAATGAGTTTACAGCATTTGTAGATGATAGTGAATCAGTTAGTGTCAGGCTTGGGTACATATGGACGCATTTGAGCGCAAGGAGTATGGAAAACAGTTGTTTGATGGATAGAAGCCCAGTTATTGATGCGTGCTCAAATTTCTGTTGAGAGTCATCACTATGACATCTGCAACCGTGGATTGGTGAACAGAATCATCACAGTTGGTGAACGTGTAATGTGACTTGAGTTATTACATCTTAATTCATCTTGTTTGACTTAAAGGCGAAGCTTTGGTTGTGATTTAAGATTTTATTGGGGAAATGGAGGCCTGGTCATGGACCGGGCCGCGGGGGCGTTGATCCCCGGAATAACCTCCAGGTAACCTTCAGGTATGGTAGTTTGCAATGGGGTAGTATCCCATGGAGCAGGGAAGTGCTGCTTCTGCCTTACTTGACATAGATCATGTTCATGTGGAGATCATTTCCAGTTTCTTTTCTATCTGGAGAAGTGCTCAGCAGCGCAGAAGAAAGTCTGGAAGACATCTGTACGAGGTTTTGAATGGGCTTACCCGAGTGTAGTGATCAGCGAGGATATGTTTTAGTAACACGGTATCTGATGCTTGGAATAAAAAGTTCTTTCAACATTAACAATGTTGGTAGTACTAGGGAATCCCAGGGTGATTCTCATTGATTGATTTGCAGTTTTTATAGTCAGACAAGAGGAAGTATTGGCGCGGTATAATCAACCAGTGACTGTGTGTGTTGTATGTGAAGATGGAGAAGCCTTATCAGATCGTGAAAGTATTTCATATTGGCGATTCCTCGTTATGAAATGTAAAGAAATAGATAAATAAAATATGCAGATAATTCTGCGTGAAGCTGAGAATGAAAATTCAAGTGTAAGTATAGCGGCTAAAGGTAATATTTACAGGATTTTTTTTTATTTTTTTTAGTTATCACACTGGCCGATTCCCGAAAAAGAAAACCTTTCACCATCATTCACTCCATCACTGTCTTGCCAGAAGGGTGTTTTACACTACAGTTTTTAAACTGCAACATTAACAGGATGATTTCATAGAGAGGGAGGCTAGATTGAAGTCCGTAGTGGTGGTGTTGTGGGTATTTCCCTGTGAACCTGAAGATGGGGTTTTGGAACACTGAGCCACAGTGTTAATGTGTGGTCACTGGTAGTCGTGACTTGTCACTGCTGAAGAAAATAAAAGTACCACCAAGTGTAGCGATTCTTTACAACTGTGATTCTCTGAAAATCCGTCAGAAGCAGTTAGGTTAGGTTAGGTAAGGTTCGTCAGGAAACAGGACAAATGTTTCCTGACGCGGGTCTTAGTCAGATGATGACCCGTCTTTGGAGCTTTTGGTCATCTGACCGAGGCCTTCCGCTGGCTTACCGGTCCACCCCTTTAAAAATTATGGTCATTTATAACCATTTATATATTTTTTTTTTCTGTCAGAAGCAGTTTAGTAACCGGTCGTGAGCCACAGTTGGTGGGTAGTAACTGGGGGAACGGCTGTGTTACGTTATAAAGACACCAGCGTCTCAGCTTGGTGGCTAAAGCTCTCCCTTCACACACGGAGGGCTAGGGTTCGATTCCTGGCGGGGTGGGAACATTTCGATGTGTTTCCTTACACCTGTTGTCCTGTTCACCTAGCAGCAAATAGGTACCTGGGTGTTAGTGGACTGGTGTGGGTCGCATCCTGGGGGACAAGATTGAGGACCACAATGGAAATAAGACAGACAGTCCTGGACGACACACTGACTTTCTTGGGCTATCCTGGGTAGCTAACCCTCCGGGGTTAAAAATCCGAAGAAAATCTCTCTTGTATCATGCAAGTTTCACTCACAGGAGAAGTCAAGTCAGTTTGCCAGTTTACGTCAGCTGGAAGCATAGACTTGGCTGGTGATAACTCGCCTGTATGGGATGATCCGAGCCGGCACTCAAGGCTACAAATGGAGAGGTTAAAAACCAGACAAGAAGTCACTTGATTGGCTAACTGCCTTAATAAGTAATGGCTTGGACAAATATGATTATATTACACAAGTCAAAATTAGGTCAGGTTGAATTAACACAAAATAACCCTAAATAAGAGTGAAGCTTTTTGGTTAAACTAAAAATACAAAATTATTGAATAGGAGTGGAGTGGATACTTCCAGATTTGAGGGGACTTGAGCTAGAGTTCGTCACGGCCACGCTGGCGGGAGATTCGTCTGTAAAAACTTGCATTTGTGGTCACAGCGGTGGCCTATGCTAACCTTCCTATGGTGTAGAAATATACCTAGTTGGGTGAATCTTATTGTAGCTAGCTGGTCTAGTGGCTTAACACGACGGTCTGGAGTTCTGTGACTCTCTGACCCCTCAAGGAAAGGGTTCCTTGATGTTGGTGGGGGTCCCTTATTTATGGAAGGAATTGGACCCTGTGTGGTCCATCCCCAAAAATTTAAGCCAATGAAATGTTCCACATCCCCGATACCCCACGCTTTTCCCTGGGTTATCAGCGCTATCCCCCGGTTGAAATGAAGAAATATTATGTATCTCTCTGATTGCGAGTTCAAGCCCCGACCGTGGTATGGTTTGTTTGGGGTGGCCCGGTAGCTAAAGCTCTCCCTTCACACACGAGGGCTAGGGTTTGATCCCTGGCGGGGTGGAAACATTTCGATGTGTTTCCTTACGCCTGTTGTCCTGTTCACCTAGCAGCAAATAGGTACCTGGGTGTTAGTCGACTGGTGTGGGTCGCATCCTGGGGGACAAGATTGAGGACCCCCAATGGAAACAAGACTGACTTTCTTGGATTATCCTGGGTGGGTAACCCTCCAGGGTTAAAAATCCGAAGAAAATCTTATCGTGTCATTACGATTTCGTGAGTTAAGTAACTGGTCAACTGGTGGAAGGGACACACGTCAACTTCCACCGGGTGGAGAAGGGAGGGACCGGGAGTGGGGGGGGGGTAGCGGTTACCATGCACACACCTCACAGAAGAAGCATACTGCCCTCCAAACTGCCATCACCACTTATTCAAACTCAGTGGGGAAAAAGCCAGGCCAAGTGACTTTTCAGTGGGGTCAAGTTTAGGGAAAGCCAAGTGTATTGTGATGCATTTCTGGTTGAGGAAGGTAGTGCTGGATATCCTTATATAACCTCTAATAGAATCACGAGACGACACCTTTGTCCTCGTGTTAATGTGACAAGAAAGTGTAACAGGTTGTCTTTGTGAGTTTCCTGCGCAACTTACACTCGAAGTGTGTCGTTCCTGCAGAGAAGTGCGTCAAGGAGAAACTGGTTGACGATTCAGCGAGTTGACTGTGTTCAAGGATAGATCGCTGTAGAATCGCCTTAAAGTCAATTAACAGTAGATGATATGGAAATACTGACCAATTATAGATGACAAAGTCAGAGAAAACACTAATTGCACTCGCACTTAAAATTGCCCAACAGGTTTTTTGAAGTCTGAGGAAACTCGCTGTTGACGAAACTATGTTAGAAAGAATAGGCTTGGTAAAGCAGACACAGAGAGTATGATCGTGAGTTTATAAGTACAGGTTCACGTGAGTACAATTATCATACATATGTAAGTTAACTAGGATAACGTCCCCAAAAAAAGTCAGGCAGAGTAGACTGAGAAAAGTAGAGAGACTAAGATGTATTGTGTGTTAGTGGGACAGTACATAGTGGAGTGGCAGAGTTTGGCAGTGATCATGGCTTGGCTTTACCACGTCCACACTCCACACTACCAGCATCACCCTCACACCCTGTGACCCCTCTAGCCAGTACCTCTCACACAGCCTCTGTTGTCCCCCTGCTAGTACCTCTCCACAATCCGTTCTCTCAGCTAGTACCTTTTCAACACACACCCTGTTCCCACTCTGCCGTACCTCTCACCCTGATGTTCCCTTGCTAGTACCTCTCCCACAATCCTGTGTCCTCTGCTAAGAACCTTTCCCACACCCCTGTTACCTCTGTTAGTACCTCTCACTCATACACATACCTGTGTCCTCATGCCAGTACGAAACATATAGATAAGATTTATCGTTCGGAATTTTTAACCAGGAGGGTTAGCCACCAATCCAGGATAACCCAAGAAAGTCAGTGCGTCATCGAGGACTGTCTAACTTATTTCCATTGTGGTCCTTAATCTTGTCCCCCAGGATGCCACCCACACCAGTCGACTAACACCCAGGTACCTATTTGCTGCTAGGTGAACAGGACAACAGGTGTAAGGAAACGTGTCAAATGTTTCCACCCGCCGGGAATCGAACCCGGGCCCTCCGTGTGTGAAGCGGGAGCTTTAGCCACCAGACCACCCCGTGTCCCCTGCTAGTACCTCTCCCACATCCTGTGTCCTCTGCTAGTACCTTTCACACACCCTGTGTCCTCTGTTAGTACCTATCTCACACACTCTGTGCCGCTGCTTGTCAGTGTTCCACTCATCTACAACTCTATTGCCAAAATAGTACCTCCCTACATCCTTTCTAAATCTTCAATGTACCAACACGGTTGCAAACCAATCACGGGTTCGTTTGTAAAAATCTGTACATGTGGTCACAGTGGTGGCCCATGCTAGCCTTCCTATATCTAGTTGGATATATCTTAAGTCATACACACACCCGCACATAGGAGAGAGAAAAGCATATAACGATGTTTCGGTCCTACTTCGACCATTGACTTATGTGACTGGTGGGTTTAGCGTTTGGTTTTGATTATAATTAATAACCTTTCATATGCAGTGGTGCACCTACATTTATGGGGCCTTGAAGCTTGAACTGTTATGGAATTACTTTTGCAACCAGCAACGGGAAGCCTATGTACTTTAATAACCTTCACACGCTGATTGTCCGGGTTCGATTCCCGGCGAGGGTAGAAACATTGGTTGTGTTTCCTTACACCGGTTGTTCATGTTCACGCCATCATAATAAAGGGTACCTGGTTGTGTAGTGGACCTGTGTGGGTCGCAATCCTGGACAAAACGACCTAATTGAGTGTAAAAGCTCAGGCGTAACAAGAGGCTTTCTATATAGTAGTATGTCACTGATGGTAGCTATAGTCTGTAATACCTTTTATGTGTACTGTAGCAGTAGAAATTATATTTGATGTAGCTGGTATGTGATGGCCTGCCCAACCTGTTTCTTTGACTCCGCTAGGGGAGCTGTGGCTGCTTGAATAACTGTGCTGCCGCCCTGTGCTATAGCCTACCCTCAGCACACACCAGCAACAACAACCCTGTGTGGCCCTCATCGCAGCAGACTGCCTAAAAATAATAATAATATATTTCTACATTACAATGTACAAAGGTATACCAGAACATGTACAAGGTAGACCCAGTAAATGTACAAGGTATAACAAGTACATGTACAGATATACCAGTACATGTACAAGGTATACAAGTACATGTACAAGGTAAACAAAACCAGTCCCCTAATACAAGAACAATGAACCAGGACAACTCGTCCCATGAACCCGATCTCACCAGTACCTGACCACTGGAAAAAACCAAGACCCTGTACACTGAATACAAGTACGATGTACCAAGTAATACCAGACCATTTACCAAGGAAACCAGAAACAAGAACAATGGTATAGGCCAGTACATGGTCCAAGGTATACCAGTACAAGTACAAGGAATTCCAGTACAAAACAAGGAATACCAGAACAAGAACCAGGTATCCAAGATACATGTACAAGGTATAACCTACCATAGCTGACATCAGTTGACATACTACCATAAAGCAAGTCCCATGTTATGTTGAAGTACAATTCCCGTAAATTATTGTCAGTTTTGTCCCCAGGATGTGACCCACACCAGTTCACTACACCCAGATGTGACCCACACCAGCCCCATTAACACCCAGGATGTACCCACACCAGTCCAACTAACACCCAGGAATATGACCCACACCCGTCCACTAA